ATTGGGAACATGGAATTTTAAGTGGAGGCTTCTGCCAAAAGAGAATGGGAACTGAGCTAGGCAGCCACCTCTGCTTAAAATTCCCTACCCCCAACTTGTCAATGCCACCAGACATTCCTGGTCTTTCTGAGCATATTTTGGGAAGACAGGTTCAAGTAAAGGAACTAGCTTGTCCAGTATAAGGCAGGTAGTAATTGTATCAGGGAGGGGACATAGCATGGAGCTATGTCCGTGTGCAATACATAACAATCCATACACTTTGGTACCAGTGAAGTACTAGCAATATTTCCTTCTCTTCCAAAAGTCACAATGTAATTTTGGGGGTAGGCCTCTTGCTTGATGTCCATTATGTGACAGTTACACACCATTATTAATACACTGAAAATTCCTTTCAGTATAGCAGAAACTGGGGAAGTGATCACTTCTTCCATCCCCTGTTCTGTGTCCTACTGTGCCTGGAACAACCACAGATTATAGTTTCATCGCTGGCCAACCTATTCACAAGGCAGTTGTATATCAGAAATCGCTTGGGGGTTTATGTGCATGTGGGAGAAGGGGATGTTCAGGGGGATCCTCAGGAGCTTGGACAGGTTCTTTATTCATCCAGTCTCACCACTCAGAGTGAGCGCTTCTGAATGTGCTAGTAGTGCTGATGTTACGACCTGGCTCATGCTTGTTGCCCTCAGTTTGGACCAGTGCTGAATGAATTTCCCGGGGGACTGGATGGTGAGAAGATATGAACCCCCCTCCAGACATCACCAGAAAGCCCAGCTGTTGTATTTCACCAGTGTCGCTGCCCTAGTCCTAGTACCGCAACAGCTCAGCTATGAACTACCAACCTCCGTATAAATGCTTTGTGTGCAACTGTGTGACACAAATGTAAGGGCAACTATTGGTCTTCCAGCTGCACCGCCCCCACATCCATCTTACAGCTTTACCTTTCAGCTTCTCATGGAAAGGTCTCTGAAACCTTCACAAAGTAAAAAGTCCTTTAAAACTGTAAATAGAGCAGAATCCAGGCTGCTGAATCTGTTCTGTATAGGATTAATTTGTGGAGCAATGTGTCTCCCAGCTTTCTATTTTTGTATAAGGAGTTAAGGAGTTTAAGCCTTCCACTTTGAAGCGTTACTGTACGTGAGTGGTGGTAAGGGAGTCTGTATGATTAATCGGAAATATTAAATAACAGATGGTGTGCTGCATGCACCACTGCAGTAGAGTTTAGCTTTGTGGTGCTGGGTCAGATATGCACTTTATAAAATAAGGACTTTTCCAGGGTAATAACATGGGATAATCACCAAAGAGTGCAATTTCATTATCATATTCTGAACATAGTACCACTATGTAAAGAGGTGCTGTGGGGTGACTTAAATACAGTGGACTCCCTTTTATGGTGAAGCTTTTTATTTTATGGTAAATTTTACCCTAAGCAAGTGGCGCATCTCATGCACTGACACTTCACATTCTAAGTGAGGCACGATTACATAGTGGTTCGAGCAGAGGAGTGAGCTGCTTATTCCACTGATTTTTTTGTGTGACCTTAAGCAAGTCACTTCATTACTGTGCCTCACCAGGATGCTTTGCCATTGTCTGATGGATCATGCTAGATGAGTGCAGTGTTCACTATATCCCTGTTCCCAATAAGCAAGTCCATCTGATTTTCCTGTTTTCCTTCCTTCTTTTGGTACCCTCACTGGGAACAGCAGATCAACTCCTTGCAAGAAAGAAAGAACAAAAGAATGAACAAACGTTGGTGAAACAATGAGGACTGCTGTCATTGAAATTGTTAATTTAGAGGGTTCCTAGCCAGCTGCACTAAACAAGAGAACTTGTACTTGCCTGGAGTTTATTCAAGCAGAACAATGGTGGTAGCTTCCAGCCAGGAAGAAGGAAGGGAACCATTTAGGGATGGAAGGAGGATGAATATGCTTCTTGTGCCTTTTTTTCTGATCTGGTAACTTTCTTCACAGAATAAGCAAGAACATGTGTATCTATTATTAGTTCCATTCCTTCCACATATATATCTATTTTCAATAAAAACAAAGAACTTTAAAATAACCATTCAAGATTTGAAATCTTTCTGCCATCACACTTCCAATAATTTCATTGGAAAACTAAAAAATTAAAACACTGAAGGTATGCCTACACTGCTGCTGGGAGCTGCACTCCCCAGCTCAGGTAGACAGAAATGCACCAGTCGTGCTCAAGCTAACACACCAAAATAGCATAGCAATGGGTTGCACGAGCAGCAGCTTGGGGTACAAATCTGCCAATACCCCCAGATACAAACTTGAATAGTTAGCTTTCAGCTGCACTGCTGTTTTTAGCATGCTAGCTCACATGGAGTTAATGTGTGTCTGTCTACCCAAGCTGGGAACCACACTCCCAGTTGCAGTGCAGGCATATTTTAGGAATTAAGGCCTCCACTTTTGTAAATGCTAGTCAGTATATGTGTCTTTAAGCAAGAGGTCAGAAAGCATGTCTTCGAATATTTGTTTTGTTAGTTTGACACCTGCTTTTTAATTTCTTTTAAAGCAGAAAGCAACAAATTGTAGCTCTTATCACTTGATTTGGAAGTTTTCATGATCGGACAACTAAACAAGAAAAAAAAACAGCTGTCAGACTGAATTTTAGTTTAAAAAGACAACAGCAATTAAAAACGAAGGATAAGTCTGTTAGTTCCTATCATCACAGCAGAACAAATCATGACAACTTTTACACATGGATCAGCAAGGCAATTGGAAAGTACAAGATCTAAATGATTTCTCTTATATTTGTACAGTATGTTGCATTCTCATCCCCATTCCCTTTTTTAGAAATCCAAAATGTTCGTGTCTTTTTTTTAATCCCTCTTTGCAGGGAATCTTGTTTTCAAATTTCTGTGTCATCACAAATTAACATCCTTGTAAATTGATGGTAGCAAATTTCTGCTCTGGGTAATGAATCACATTAGAATTGGATGGAAGCATTTGGCATTACTGATAGCAAAATCATACAATGCAAGAAAAAGAATTCAACCTAGGAGATAAGCCAGTTCAGCTGTAGAAGATTTCTTGCCGGCTACTTTTATGCCCTGTTAAGGGAATGATACCACAGAAAGCTTTAATTTTTTTGACATTCTCTCCATCATGTGATGAGCTAGTTTATTTTCAGACTTCTATTACTTGAACTGGAAATAGGTCCAAAATGGGGACATTTCGTGAGGTTTTCATTTCAGTGTTTGAAAGTTGTTTGCTATTTAATGCTTGGAACCTTTTATGCTAGCTGTCCCTTGCTTGACACTGAGCTCCCACAGATACTTTCTTCTGAAAATGTGAATAAATTAATATAATACTTATTTCAGTGTGACTGATTCTTCCTGGTTTTTGACAACAGGGTCTGACACATATAAGTGTGGGTAAGAAAGTGGGCTTTATTTCTTGGCTGCAATCTTATGAACTGGGTGAGGGTCACAAAGAATCTGCTGACTTGAGGAATTACCATAACCATATTCATGAAGCAGCTGGAAGCCGAAGACAAGTTTCAGATCTGTTGTGAGCCAGGTGATAATCACAAGGACAGCACCTGCATAAATGGGAACGTGTGTCTACTGAGAGGTTAGGCTCTTGGGGGGTGTGTAGACTACTGAGTTTTGTCGACAAAAGTGGACTTTTGTCGACAAAACTATACCAGCGTCTACACTACCGCTGAGTTCTGTCGACATAACGTCGACAGAACTCAGCAGTTTTGTCGACGCTGGTATACCTCATTTTACGAGGCATAACACCTTCTGTCGACAGAGTTCTGTCGACAGAAGGTGTTATTGCCTGTAGGGTTGCGTCTAGACTACAGGGTTCTGTCGACAAAGCAGCTTGCTTTGTCGACAAAACTCAATGTGTCTGGACGCTCTTTGTCGACAGAAGTTTTGTCGACAGATACTGTCGACAAAACTTCTGTCGACAAAACGTGGTAGTCTAGACGTACCCATAATTTCAGAACGTTTTGATATTTCTGTTCTTGCGACAACTTTAACTCCTAAAGTTTTTATGCTTGCCAGTCACCCAGTGCCACCCTCACTATCCTCAAGAAGTGCTGTGATTGAAGTACCTAATTTGTAACAAATTGGGGATGAAATGCTAACATCTCACATACCTAATTTCAGTCAGCCCAGCCTGGCATTTGTTCCCCTTCAGTTCAAAGTTCTTTCGTTTGCAATGTTGCAAACATTATGCATGAGGGTGCTCACATTCATCACAAATTAGCAGATCAGCAATTAGTTGCAGGATCTTCAGTTCTTGTACATAATGTTTTGATGTAGCTCAGGTGCCAAGACAGTCCCAAAGAGAAGTCATTTAAATTGAGACCTAACAAAAGAGGAGTTGAAGGTGTAGACAGTTGAGAGAGTAAAAAGAAGCTGGACCTGCCAAACTCCTTGTTTTGCACCCAAAACTTAAAAACATTCTGGCATTTTGAAGTCTAGGCATAACTTCCTTAACTGTTCCTATCAAGGTAAGGGGCTTGTAATATTCACATGCAATGCATTTATTCAGATATTTTTGTCTGCATAAGCCCTTGACGTGCTTTTTTGTTAAAATAACTAGACTTTAAACCCAACCGGTCAGTGTTTATCTGCTCAGTAACATCTCATTTTGCCATAATGTATCATATTCCATCAAACAGCTTCGTCAAAATCTTTCAGAATACCTTTTGCCTCTGGTTCTGTAGACAAGTTTTATACCCATTCATAGTCCTGCAAGGAACAAAATCAGTATCCATATCCGCAAAACTGATTCACGTATATTCGCATCCACATCCACCAATATAAAGCAGATATCTGCAGATTTGCAGGGCTCTATCCATTCGCTCAAATACAAATTGTTCAGTTCAACTGCACGTGGAATCTTTTGTCCCATTCTGATTTTCTGTTCTTATGCAGATGTGTGCATGTAGCTTACATTGAACCTGCTAAATGAAACAAGTTTTTGTGTTGGATTTTAACATGGTTGATCACTAATCTATCTAGGCCTGATTCTCACTTACAGTAAAAAATCTGTATACCACTTTTCTTCTTTGAGCAGTGTCCTGTGGGTGCTCTACTGTAGGTGTCGGGCTTATCCTGGTGCCGAAGATCGGAGATCTTTTTCAGATGTAATCTGCCAGACCGCGCATGTGCGATGCGCATCTCGTGCCTTTTGCGCCGTTTGTGTGCGCACGGTCCGGCTCCCGCCAGTTCCTCCTGACCGTCCTCGGACATGGACGGAGTGAGCACACTCTCGTCGTCAGTCCTGTCAGGATTTGAGAGAGAAATTTGTTTATAGTTATTAGTTAGTTTATATAGTTCTTACTCATATAGTCGTAGTCCTAGTTAGTTAGTTACAGTTGATACCGTTATTTAAAAAAAATAGTTTTAGTTAGTGTGTTACTTTGTTAAGTTAGGAAGAATTACAGTCCTCTCCCCTGTTTAGAGGACAAGAGACGTCGCTTGAATCATGCCAGGCTGACCTGGTTTTAAAAAGTGTGGCACATGCCGTGATCCGATGCCCACCTTAGACGGGCACTCACTGTGCATAGGGTGCCTCAGTGAGGGACATATTCCCCAGAAATGTCCCCACTGTTCGAAGCTCACAGCAAGAGCTAGAAGGGACAGGGAGATGAGGCTGAAAATGCTCTTGTCTGACAACGCATTACAGCCGCAAGAGACTGACTCCTCCTGATCCACGGACTCCGAATCCAGCAGACGCTGGCCCTCGTCGCCCAAGCCTACTCATGCGAAGAGGAGACACCCCTCACACGCCTTACTCCCAACATGTGTTAGCACAGGGACTAAGCCGGGCACCTTGGGCACGACTTCCATTCGCGGACCTAATAGGCACCCGCAGCCCATCGGCACCTAATCCAGTGCCATGAGAGAGTTGGCACCGAAAACGTCTGCTGCAGCTCAACTGGCACCGAGCCCTGAACCGGCACCGACATCGGTGCTGATAAATGTATCGGCACCAGCAACCACCCCAGCACTAGCCACCACGGCGCCAACCACACTGACACCAACAATACAACCAGCACTGCTACGCCATCCAGTGCCGGCACCGACAACTCAGTCAACACCGACAGCACACTCGGCACCACTGCACCGACCAGTGACAGCACCGATAACCCATGCGATTCCACAGCAGGCACCTACCCTCATCTCAACCCCGTCTTCGTCTTCACCCAAACAATTCCCAGTGCTGACAAAGTCTTGCCCAAAGTCCTACAAGCTACCATCTCTTTTGTCAAGTCCGGAGCACATTGAGTTTTCTGCATAGCTGCCTTTCGGTCTCTCATTGGCCTCCAGGGTCTTCTTGAAGACACTGCCAGTAATGACGGTGTACCTGCGACAACTGGGAATCATCATATTCCCTTACCTCGACTACTGCCTGATCAGAGCACCTTCTTTCAATGAAGCGCTCCACGCTACCAACATAATGAGAACCATATTCAAAGCTCTTGGACTCATAATCAACATTCCAAAGTCATCTCTGATACCACAGCAATCCATAGAGTTCATAGGTGCACGCCTCAATTCCACCAAGGCGCGTGCGTACTTACCCGTGAACAGATTCCAGGCAATCCAAGACCTGGTACAGGCTCTCTCTATCAGTCTCAGAACACCTGTACTCACCTGCCTACAGCTTTTGGGGCACATGGCATCTATGACGTACGTTGTAGCACACATAAGGCTACACTTCAGATGCCTTCAGCATTGGATTGCTTCGATATATATGCCAAATGACCAAGATGTCCACAGGAGGGTCACAGTACCTTCTCACGTAAAGAAATTGTTGGCTTGGTGGACCGTCCCCGACAACCTGATGGACAGAATACCTTTTCACCGGCCTCAACCAATAATGCAACTTACCACCGACGCATCACTGCTAGGTTGGGGTGCCCATCTACAGGGTCAACAAGCCCAGGGACTATGGTCCACTCATGAGTCGCTACTACATATCAACCTACTCAAGTTGCAAGCTTTCTTCAACACGGCACTTTCTTCCCCTGATCCATGGTCGGGTCATTCATGTCCTTACTGACAATACGACTACGGTATATTATGTAAACCGACAGGGTGGAGCTTGATCCTGATCCCTTTGCACGGAATTGGTGCAACCAGCACAAAATTTCAATTATCGCAGCGTACCTCCCTGGTGAGCAGAATTCCACGGCTGATGCTCTCAACAGGCATTTCTCCATGAATTACCCAGAAGCGCTCCATACCATATTCCACCACTGGGGGTATCCATCTGTAGACCTTTTGCCACGCACTGCAAAGCGAAGTGCCCTCAATACTGCTCAAAAGCCAGGATTGGATGCAAGACTGGAGTCATCATCTCCTGTATGCCTTCCCACCTACTCCCCTTATTCCCAAAGTTCTGGAGAAAATAGCAATCGAAGGAGCCACAATAATAATGATAGCCCTCTTCTGGCCACGAAAGATGTGGTTTCCTTACCTGTTTTGCATGTTGATCCACTCTCCATATCATCTTCCCAAACGCCACAACTTGCTGTTGCAGGATCATGGGCAATTGATACATCCCCAACTCGACCACCTCACTCTGATGGCCTGGTACCTAGTTGGTTCCAACAAACAGAATAATTGTTCCCAAGCTGCCAAGCTCATCCTGCTACATAGTAGGAGATCTAGCACATGTAACACTTACCTGCATAAGTGGTGACATTTCTCTTTGTGGTGCTCCAACGCAGGTGTGGACCCATACTCGGTCCCTATTTATCACATTTTGGTTGATCTTTTAGATCTTAAACACTCTGGCCTGACTTGTTCCTCTTTCAAGGTGCATATTGCAGCAATCACCGCCTTGTGGCATTCTGTGGATGGCTACTCTATATTTTCCCATCCAACAATGTAGAGATTTATGAAAGGGTTGGCTAATCTCTTCCCATACCATAGGCAGCCCACAGACGCATGGAACCTGGAGCTAGTTTTGGATGCCTTAATGCAACCCCCCCCTTTTGAGCCTTAGGCAACTTGTGATTTACACACCCTAACAATGAAGGTGGTTTTTCTGTTGGCAATAACTTCAGCATGAAGGGTTGGGGAATTATCCACTGTCTTGGCATCACTACCCTACATGGTGTTTATCCCATGGAGTAATACTGCATCCTCAACCAGCTTTTCTACCTAAAGTGAATTTGGAGTTCCACATAAATGAACCAATAGTTCTTCCCACATTCTGGCCCCACTCCTCAGCACACCATGCGTGTCTCCATACCTTGGATGCCCGTCGAGCGTTAGTGTTCTATATTGACAGGACGCAATGCTTTCAGAAATCTCAGAGCCTCTTAGAGTCCACTGTGGAACGT